ACTTCCTTTGCCATGCAAGCACGTACTGAAGCACATAGACCCCAGTTACCATTTTTAGACTTGATATCACAGGTATGTTGCATTTTGTCTGTGTCACCTATGTCAATTGATCTCTCCCCTTCCTTATTAACTGTAGCACCTAATTCCAAGTTTTGATTTCCCTCTTTATCTGATATTGAGGTCCATGATGAACATTTTGCTGAACAATTATGTGTGTGTGTGGGGGTTAGGTACTGCAGTGGCTCATGCACTTGCATATCATTGTTCAGCAAATCCTTTCTCGATGGACAACAATTGGATTCACTTCTTACCCTTGGGATTTGGACTCTGATACCTCAGGGCATTTTTATCAAGCATAATTTGCTTGCCTCCATTTCTCCCTCAAACCTCCTCCATCATTTATCGTCCACTCACCTGTTGTCTGAGGCTTTTCGTGGTTCTCCCAAGGGCTTTCAGCAGAAGCCCATACCCTCCTACTCACCAACTTGTCCAAATTATTTTTGTCTGACCATTCCCACTTGGCTCCTGTGTTGCTGGGATATCTTGGGTCAGGGTGCTTTCTTGACACGTGCATCCCCCCCCCCCCAGGATTTCTTTGAGAGATCTTTGATCAGTCCCTTTTCTGAGGTCTGTCATCTTTGGTGGGCTTCCAGACACCTTGGAGTCTCGTGTTGAATCTGCTAGACTGCACACTTCCCTTACTTCCAATTTTCTCTACCTCCTCCATTTCCCATCCTCTTCCTTCTTCTCCTTTACAGGTTCCTCCTTCTCGCACTACATCTGCACATTGTACCGTTGTTCACTGATGCCTTTGGATGATGACTTTCATCTTGTCTGATGCTTATCTTCACATCCCTATTGCTCAGGCTTCATGTGATTTTTTACATTTCATCCACAAGGATCATGTTTATCAATTCCATCATTTTATGGATGACTGGCTCCTATTGACTCCATCCTTTACAGAGAGTTCTTCACACACCCAACTTCTCCCCAGAGAAGCTGATCATGTGGGTTGGTTTATCTAGATGGAGAAGTCTGTTATCTACCCCACCCAATATCTTGTTCATCTGGGGTGTTTTTCAACTCACATCTCAGTTGAGCCCAGCCTTCTCCTCTTCATCTGTTATCCATGGAATTTTTAGTTCAGAGGGCACTATGAGCATCATCTCCCACTGCACGAGAGGTTCTGTCTCTTATGTGGACTTGGGCATCACTTGAAGCACTTATCCTTCTAGGCCATGCCCACATGCATTCCTTGAAGTGGGTACTACAAATTCATTGGCTCCTCATCAGGGACCTTCTAGATTTACAGATATCCCTTTCTGATTACCTTCAGTCTGACTTCCTTTGGTGGTTAGGCAAGGACAACATGACAGTGGAGGTACCTATTCCTTCTACCTGTCTGGATGGCCATACTTTCACAGATGCCTCATGTCAGGATGGGGTGCATGCTGCATTACACAGGAAGTCTTGGGCCATTGGTCTCAGGAGGAGGTGAGTCTTCACATCAACCTTTTGGTACTCCTTTCTGTTCAACGGGCAATGGTTCATTTTCTGTCATCTCTGCAGGGCAGGACAGTTATGATTCATTCCGTCAACTTAAAGGTTGTCTCTTACATCACCAATCAAGGGGGCACTTGATCCTGGTCCTTACGTTCCTTCACTCTAGATCTCCTATTCAGGGCTCACAGTCATCAAATTCATTTACTGACTTGTCACATACCAGTTACCCTCAGTCTTGTCGCGGATTGTTTGTCCTGTTCACACAAGATTCTACCCACAGAATGGTTTCTTGATCCCCAGGTATTCTGATAGCTGTGTTCTCATTTGGATACTCCCCAACTAGATGCATTTGCCTCTCTTTTGAATGCCTAGCTTCCTCTCTTTTGGCCCCCAGTTCCACATCCATTGGCTTTGGCTGTGGATGTGTTCAGCCAGGATTGGAAGGACCTTTCCTGTATGTATACCCTAGCATCAGTTTTCTATACTGAGTATTTTCTCTCATCCAATCCACTCTGTGTTGGGTCCTTTTGGCTGGCTCAACCATCATATCTGTCCTCGTCACTTCTCCAGGAACAACCTCCAATACCTCTACCTCCTCTGGCAATCTCACTCAGTGGTACTTCATCCCTCTGCTCCCACATCCCGGCTTCATACGTAGCTTTTGACTGGTCTCTTGTAAGGGGTTTGGAACTATCCACATGTGTAGCATCCCAGTTTTCTCTCACTGTCCATTCCACATCCATGTCTGTGTATCAACATAAGTGGAGAATATTCTGTCGTTAGTCTATCCAGCCTGGATTCTCCCCTTCCTCAGATATCTGTTTTTATATGATTGTTTGACAGAGGTCTATCTTTATCAACCATTGCAGGCTATGGGGTGGCCTTGTCATTTCCCTTTCATTTTGCCACATGTTTTCCTCTCCAGGTATTTCCATTCTTTCCATATCCCATATTTACTCCCACTGTGATCTGGATTGTCCAATGTCCATTCCTTACTTTACTGTGCTGCGCATTGTGCACAGCACCCTTCCATGACTCTCTTGCTCCTGTTTGTTTGTCCATTGGAGTTTATCCATTCTCATGATATTCTCCTATTACCCTTACTGATTGGGTTTGTCAGATTATCCATATTGTATATTCCTCCCTTTCTTTTGAATCTTGGCAGTTGTTCTGTGTACCATCCCATCTGATCCATCACCTCCCAGTGCCCTTGGCTGCTCATTTCTGTTGTTCTTTAGAGGAGATTATCCAGGCCAGCATGCGGAACACTCCCCACACCTTGGTGTCATGCTACAACTTGCACCATCTGGCAGTTTTCTGCTCAGCTGGATATTGTCTTCCTTCTGTAGTCATTCTCCATACGTTGGTACATCTTTGAGTGGGTAAGTTATTTTTGTTTCTTTTTTTTATCAGCGGCCTACTTCACATGTTATGGATCCTGCTCTGTAGTGAGTGGTGCCTGTCCATGTCCATTAATATCCAAAATTCGCACCGTTGAGATGGGGTGTTTCACAAGACCACTTCCAGGTTCTTCCTTGCAGTATACTGCATCATAGATATGTTCGTACTAAACCATACACTCATGGACTAACATGAGTAAAACAGAAAGAGATTGCTGCTCATCTCTGACATTCCTTATACTACTGGAATCAGGAATGGCCTGCCTTTCAAAATAGGCTTTTGTGGTCATCCATTGCTCTTTCTCTGGGAATCCTTACCACTTATCAGCTCCTTGTTGGTGTGGTGGTGGAACATGGAAGAATCCTCTTGCATGTGCACAATTTCCACTCAGTCAAGAGTAGGGCTGTAGCATTCTGCCTGTGTAAAAGGTGTGACTATCCTCCTGGCATGGGTCTAATGTTTTATTCCAGGTGCCTCTGGTCTGGACTGGATTTTTACATCTATTTTTCAGTTCACCCCTCTGACTGGGAACTCTTCCTCCTACTGCTGCCTGGATGTTGGTTTTGGTTGGAGCTGGACTAGCTAACATAAGTGGGCTGTGAACTTCCTCCTACCACAGACTGGATGTTACATCCTCAATGCTGAAAATATATTTCCGATAGATACTCACCTCCTTCTCACTTCCACTGTTTTACATGCATAATCTCGAAGTGACGATTGGGTTCAACTGCATAAAGGGAGTCAGCTGTGATAGTGTGACGCACTCCTATTAGTGGACGGTTGTCACATTCTTACTTGCATGCTTAACACATTGGCTGCCACATAATAAATTAATTATAACTAGAATTAAACCTTCAAAGGTGCTGAGGAGCAGTCACAGTGTCTCAAACTCATGTGCCACAAGAGAACTTTGGTTTTGAAACATAATTGTCTGTGACACATAACTAAAAATCAGTTGTGATGCACCGGTGGGGCACATGGCAGCCAGCATGTTAAATGCAGCTGAACCACATATACAAGTGGTATTAGATGGGAGTTCAAGGCTATTAACAGGTGAAAATTTGTGCATTAGAGGGCAGTTAAATTGAGAATAGATGTAATTGTGTATGGAGGTAAGTATCTATTGGGGATGTATTTCCAGTTTAGAAAAATATTATCATTCTCTTTGTCATTTTTTCTTGACCCTGTATATTTAAGATATGGTTATATTTGCAACTTCCAACCACAATAACAAATTTATTGATATCCCAGAAAATAAAGTATGTAAGATGTTCTTATTTTAAATTCTGATCTCTCAATATCTACAGTTGATGTTTCTAGTTAGTGAACATTCTGAAACCCATATAAAGGAAGAAGGAAAATCAAAAAGGAGAATTGCCAAGTTTATTGAAATACATTTATAATAAAGCCATTTAATCAAATTTTGAATGTAACTGTAAATGTTCTGACTTGTGCACTTTGACCCTCATGCATGCACATAGGGATAATGATATGGTGAAGTTTTTTACAGAGTTAGTTATATTTTGCATAAGCTCTTAGAAAATCTTTATGTTAATTCCAATAGAAATAACATATCCTGATGATTGGAAAGATCATTTAATATTTATTCTTTTCTAACTACTGAAAATGTACCAAGGCTGTAAACCTTTGTTAATCCTGTACCTTAAACAGAGGTCACAGCTATGAATTTCACTCTGCCATAACTAGCATAGAATATATCTTTGTTCAAATATAATCAGATAAATTTTTGTGCAGGTGTTCTGTACGTAGTATGACATTTTTGTTAACCAAAAGGTCATAAACGATTTAAATCCCTACACTTGGATAAGGTTGCATATGCCAATGTCTTGAAACTTGTATTACTTTGGCCTTGTGTTCCCCTTCCTTCCCAGGTTAGGTGTTTTTTTCTATAAGTGATATTCTCCCTCACCACAGAAGTCAGACAGTTCAGGCATAGTTTATAAATTATCGTGTAATTGTTCACTTTTATGTTTTATTTGCTATCTTTTTTTATAAATTATTCTCTACAGTATATTTCCATAACCTGCATTATTGCAGATACTTTAGACTTATCTGTTAGTTATCAGTGCACCTGAATATTATTCTCATTTTAAAGGGTAGTACATAGACTTGTACAAGTTAGTATGAGTTGGGTTTCATCTCCTTAAATATTATAATGGGGGATATCATTGATGCAACAATATACGGTCATGTGACGTCTTTGTTTCATACTGTATATATATATTTGTGTCAGTGTAAACTACTTGTACCTGAGGATGACAAAACCTTGTCGAAACATTGTACATTTTCTGTTATGTTAAACTTATATTAAACTTTTTCTTCATTACCCATTCAAGCCATCTCCAAGCATTATCATTGATGTAGATTTTCTAAGAATTAATTATACTTGTCATAAGATGTTATATCAGGCCTATTATATTATTTAACACTACATTCTTAATCTAGGACCTTAGGGATTTCATATTCTGTTCATATTCATTTTATTTCCTGCATAACACTTCCAAAACCAGCTGTATTGTGGATACTTGATATTTTTTAACACTACATTCTTAATCTAGGACCTTAGGGATTTTCAAGAATTAGAATAATGTAAATTAACAGCATTTAAACCATACTATATTTGTCATATCCATTACCAACAACGTGTTTCATTTAATCTAGAGCTCTTCAGGCTTGCTGGGATACAACAAACGTAGTAGTGGTCAAAATACTACTTTTATAGGCCATTTGTTACAACAATTGTTACAGTGTAAATGCCTTTTACAAGCTTACATCTTCACCAGCATGTAAAAGGTGTTCACACCATAACTATTATTCTAAGAATTGTTGGATATCCCACTAGCACTTTGGTCTGATTTAACACTGTGGTATGATTATTATTTTGATTACTGTAATCATTAAATGCAGGCATAAGAAATTATTTATCTTTGCCACAGCAGCCAGTTTCATAATAATTATTCAAGTTGACTAGTGATAAATTGATAGATAAAGCCCCAAAATACTATTCATTGTATGAAATACTTGTATTTGTACACTTTGCTTGTTTTTCCTTTGCTGTTCATATTCATTTTATTTCCCGCATAACACTTCCAAAACCAGCTGTATTGTGGGTACTTGATACTTTTTGTTTGACAGCAGTTTTATTTGAATACCACAGTATTATACCAGAATTTATTATCTGTAAACTACAATTATCTTCACTAAAACATCTTTAGAGGACTGTGAGAACCCCCAAGCCAAACGAACTCACTTGGATAACTTATACCGAATGGTCCAGTACTGTGAAAACAAAGCAGATTGTAGAAGAGTCCAGATGTTGGAATACTTTGGAGAGATCTTTGATAAGCAGCTTTGTATATCAAGTTCTAAAACCACCTGTGACAACTGTAACTCAAAGGTATTCTTATTTATATTTCCTCTTATATTTTATTTTGAACTTTTCTAGCTTTCAAGTTTTCTTATGTTTTCAAAGGAGATACTTCTCAATTTTTTCAAGCTTAATATACTTTTACCTCAAAGTAAGAACTACTGGTAGATTAAGCTTGAAAAGTCCAGCAGATGTGCAAAAAAAACCCTGCTAATAATTTCCTTAAAAATTATATGTAACCTAATATTGTTAATAATTAATGCTTTCACGCAGCTGTTGGGTTGAAGTAATATAACATTTGTATATTAACAAACAGTTGAGAAGTAAAGACTGGATATATTAACTTCATAGTTGTCAGGTTTTATTATGCCAGATTCTTTACCATAGGTGTCAGTGACTTGTTGGTGATGAATTTCAACTATAAATAAATAGGAACACAGTCTGCTTGTTTAAAATATTATATTAAAAACAAATCAGACTTGTATACAAATGTTCATTACACTGTTAGTTACCACAGTTGTATCCAGAGCTTTAAATAATTGTCTCTTTTTTTGTCAAAGTCCACACAGGCTGGTTCAGTGACTTTAGAACACAATTGACAAAACAAATTATTCTTCTCTACTCTGTTTTTACAATAAAGTCTGTGATAATTTCACTTTAAGTATTGCACTATACACTCTTTATCACTAAACTCATGATCATGCAGTCTAAAACTAGAAATCAGTCATGATTTTTTAACACATATTTATATTCCCACAGAAGTCTAGAACATTTCATGCAATACTAGATATTCTGATGCAATAATACTCAATTAAACTAATGAGAAATTCAGGAAGTTCTAGCATCATGAAGCAATAATCACGCTATTGTAAACAATTGCTAATTCATAACAATTGAACTACATAATGTATCATTCATGGTTACGTAAACAAACTTACTAAAAAATGTTGCTTCTAAAAATATCTAAATATAACACCCATGCTATATAAACTATCAAAATCATAACACTCACATTAAACTTAAATTGAAACAGTCATACATATCTAACAATAATGAATACAAGAATTAAAATCTGATGTTTGTTAACCCATTCCTTGTCTGCTGTGTTTCAACAACTATTTCTCTAAATTATAAGAAAAATATCTTGTAAACTGCTTAGTGTATTTCAAAATAATTACCCCAAAATCACAAATGAATTTCTACCATATACTTGATATCCAACATTCAAGCTCATTCATTCTCATAGTAATAGCAATTATTTAAATTTGCTGAGGATGCTAAGGTCATGAATGTTGCCAGCTGGCTGTGAAGAGAGTGCTGCTGTTTTTCAAAAGGATTTAGATCATTTGGTGAGTTGAGTGAATAAATGGCAGATATCTTTCAACATTAATAATTGCAAGGTAAGGCTTATGTGCAGTCTTAATTTGAATTATAAATTTAATCTTAATAGTGTTAAAAAGAGGATCTTAGCATTGTGGCTGATCATTTTCTTAAGCCAGTTGCTGTGGGTAGTGGTTTAGCAAATAGGATTTTAGGTTGTATTTACAGAAATATTGAATAAAACTCAAAAGTGGTTATAATCTCATTGTATAGGTCACTGATTAGGCCACATTTGAGTATTATGTTCAATCTTGGACTGTATTTTAGGAAGGACATTCAATTACATATCAGCAGACTGGATTATTGAAACAATATTAACAAAAAAAAGTGAGTAATACACTTCAGGAAAAAAAGTATTTTATCCAAACACAACATTTTGTCTTATGCCTCTCTCAAGAATTACATTGTCAAATACAAATCTAAACTGATAGCTGAAAAGAACGAATACAACAAGTTAAACCTGACTTAACAATAATAATATCATGTGTTCTTGCGTGCACATTGAGTTTGAATAAAATCTGGAATGTATAAGGACATTGAATTGTTGGGAACAGTTCAGAGGCTACCTGGAATGGAAAGGCTCTGAAATTTTCTCTTGAAAAATCAAGAGTTAAAGGTAATCTGACTGATTGACGTGTTTAAAATTGTTAAGGAATTGACAGTATCGATCCATAGTCTTTTTTTTTCATACTTAACGGTGAAAATGGTAGAACTAGAGAACACAACTATAAATTCTGGCAGGGTAGAAGTCATCTTCAGCTGAAACAAAATTATTTTTCTAACAGGGTCGTTGGCATTTGGAATGGATTGCCTTCATATGTGGTGGATGCAATTAATTTAAGAGAAGGCTAGATAAAGATTTGAATGATAAGGGCTGGCTTTTTTTTTTAAGTTAGTGATTGGAATGAGTTAGATGGACCAAAAGGTCCCTTGTTGTTTTTAAATTTAATGTTACAGTATAATATGATAAGACACATTTTAGAAAACTCAACTTTATTACAAACTTGTATAAATCATAATGAAATATCATGTAAATCTTATTGAAGGAAACAAAAAATTAGGACAACTGGTCTGATAATTAAAATTGGACTTCTTGAAGGGAACTTAACCAAAACTAGCAGCTCTGAGTTTGTGTGAGAGGAATCTTCTTAAAGTTTTCCACACTTGTTTTGGTATGAAAATTTCAAGCATCAAAGAAAAATGACAATATGTTTTAAGACTTGTAGGATGCTCTGAAACTGAGCTGCAAAATTAGACTTTAACCCCTTTTCTGATTTGACTGAGGTAACTTAGGCACTCTCCATGTTTAAAAAAATATTTATTTGAATTAAATTGGGCAAACCATTTCTTGCTGTATTTTTAATTTATACAGCATGATATCATGTATTACAATCAGTGCTCACTAGATTCCATTGGAAATACTGTTTGTGCTGATTTCTGTCAGATTTATTCTGAAATATGTTTCATAAATGCTGGAGAAAAGCATTCCTATTCTTTGCTGTAGTTTCATTGAAAACTTTATGTATAATGTATAAATCCAGTTGTATAACATTTATTTATCAAGTATATTTTGTGCAGAAATGTAATAGATCATTAAAGAACTTTTGTTGTTTCATTGATATATAAGTATAGACTATCAAAAAGTGAAATAAAACCTGACCTTTTTTTTAGCTCATTTACAAAAATGCCTCACATGGAAGGCATTAATAACCTAGAATAGCCAAAAATTCATAAATTCTTTATATATATACGGCTGCTAAAACAAAACAGGAATCAGGTGGCTCAAAATTGCACAGCATATGGCAGTTAATGAAAGAAGTGTGAGTAGAATACTTTACCAGATGATGCAACAGTGAGGGAGAGAACCTGAATTTTTGTTAAAGAAAATGTTCTTGTTTTTTGTATTCTTAACTTCATAACATAGTTTAAAACTTGTATAGTTAAAGCTTGTAATGTTTCTTGCATTATACTTTTTGTTTCTATTTTTTAATAAAAATTGTCATTTTGTGCAGAAATATGACACTGACAACCAGTTGAAATGAAAATAGTGTTAGTAACTGTCAAGGGGTTCACTTTCATACTTGAAGTTATAATAATAATAATATACATAATAACATTGTATGACTTCTTTGTGTGTAAAATATAAAAAAGTAAGATTTGACAGTAGTATACGTTTTAGCTGACCATGGTGAACCATAATTTGAACTGTCAACCTATGTAACTATACTAACAAAAACTTACTTTCCAGTACAGTGTGATGTCTTTTTTTAAATAAGATTTAGACTGGTGATTATAACAGATTAAAAAAGCATGTCTATTGTATCTTATTTATGTTTTGATGTTGATTCATTTACTTACATATTTATTTGATAAATAGATAACTGATTTTAAAAAGAAAAGTGTGTAACTTACCACCATCACCACTTAGGCAATATTTCCATTTCTGTTAAAAGCCCCTCTAGGAAGTAATTTGTATGACATTAAAGCAATCACACTTGTCACATGAAAAAAAATGTGCTAAGTTATAATTTAAACATGTCAACCCTACTCTTGAGTATAGGCTGTCTACAAGTGATAGTACACATTTTGAAGTGTAATATCTTTTAAATGAAGAAAGATAGTCATGAAGTGGAGCACGTGTTTGTCTTCTTACCTTCAGGTTTCATACCATATCCACATGAATTCAGTTAACCTTAATGCACTTTTTCAGGCATCCTTGCTTTTCATCAAATACAGTAACAAACATGCATTTTGGAATTGCATCAGTTGTTCCACTGATGTGGTTCCTGATGTCAGCAAGTATACCTGCACATGAGGTGTAAATTGTAGGTCAGAAACATTATTTACCTCTCTGCACCACTAAGAGCTATTACTTCATACACAACTGCCATGGAATTTCCTGCACATGCCACAGGCCTTGAACAAACTCTCACCCTTACACATGTCTATGTGTATTGTGCCAGCCTATGACATAATTCTCATAATGCTGTAGCCCTCCACAAATAGGGGGGAGCAATGCAACCTCCATCTGCAGTAATCCTCATAAGCACTAGCACATGATCACAGCCTCATTCTTTCATCAGCACTGTCTGTATTTAGACATGTTTTTTCCTGTGGTACTTAAGTTTCTAGTTGCTTTGATTTACAGCTTTCCTTTATTTAGTGTTATGGTACTTTTGTCCTCATTGCACTTTTGTTCCATCCACCTGATTGTAACTCTAGACACCACATTTCTTCTTTGTGATTTTTCAAACAATTATTGTGAATACTGAAATTAAAGAAGAAAAGTCCAAAGGCCCAGTCTTTCCTCTTTGGGCATTTCTCCAAAGAGGAAAGATTAAAAACCAGAGGCAATTTAACTGTTCTTGGAGCTAACATTCAGTTACTTTTACCTTTAGCTCACTTAGCAGATCAAATGCCTGGCATGTGACAGCCCTTGGATTTCAATCTTTGGTGAGGCACTATGATATTATGGACATATTAAATTACCATAATCTTAAAGGGCTGTGGTGAAGCATGTTGTTCACTGCTTATATTTTTCAAATATGATGTTACTGCTATCGTACAGGTGGTTGGTTCCCTTCTGCTTACTTTGTCTCCAGTTCAGATCCCTCATCATTCTGTTTCATTGCCTTCTGTGGATAATTTTT